TTAAGGAGTCTATCAGCTGAGATGGGAGAGACTCTGCTTATAGCTGTTGAATGAAAAAGCCACTGTTGAAGAAAACTCATATCAAGGTTCATATCATAAAATTTGCCATAAGGAGACTCAATGGCCAAGTCAAAGAAAGTCTTTTGTTCTGACCAGATCAAAATGGAGCTTTTTGGCCATCAGACAAGATGATATGTTTGGAGGACACCAAAAACCACACATCACCTCCACTGTGAAACATGGTAGTGGCAGAATTATGTTGTGGGGATGCTTCTCTACAGAAAACCCTGGGAAGCTCTCAAAGGTTTAAGGTAAAAAAAAGAGCCATCTGGAGGATTAAACACCAAATGTTCAGTACTTGTATAACACTTTATGAAGTACTACATACTTCAGTCATTCACCCATTCACTCAGTTACTCACAATTAATGGTTGTTAGCTCCCATCAATTGGTATCTAATGAACAATTGATGTTGTTAGCTACCAACTGATGGTAGATAACTACAAAATGATGTCATTAGCTACCCATTGATGGTAACTAACTACCAATTGATGTCATTAGTTACCAACTAATGATAGCTAACTACCAATTGATGTCATTAGCTACCAACTGATGATAGCTAACTATCAATTGATGTCATTAGCTACTAATTGATGGTAGCTAACTACCATCTGATGGCAGCTAACAACCAAATGTCATTAGCTACCAACTGATGGTAGCTAACTACCAATTGATGTCATTAGCTACTAATTGATGGTAGCTAACTACCAACTGATGGTAGCTAACAACCAAATGTCAATAGCTACCAATTGATGGTATCTAACTACCAACTGATGATAGCTAACTACCAGTTGATGTCATTAGCTACCAACTGATGGTAGCTAACTACCAACTGATAGTGGCTAACTACCAACTGATGGTAGCTAACAGACAATTTATGTCATTAGCTACCAACTGATGGTAGCTAACTACCAATTGATGTTAGCTAACTACCAATTGATGTCATTAGCTACCAACTGGTGGTAGCTAACTACCAATTGATGTCATTAGCTACCAATTGATGGTAGTTAACTACTAATTGATGATAGCTATCAACTAATCGATGTTGTTAGCTACCAATTAATGGTAGCTACCAATTGATGGTAGCTAATGACCAATTGATATCGTTGGCTACCAACTGATGGTAGCTAACCATCAACCGGTAGCTAATGACAATCAATTGGTCGTTGGCTAACAGTGAGGCTGCCATACATCTGCGCCACTGGGCCATTTGACCCTCACCAGGGAGCTGAATACTTTTTATAGGCACTGTACAACACAGGACTTTACAGGACTTCTTGAAAATGCTGTGTACCAAACCTCTTGTTTCTCTCCGATGATACCAATGCCAGCATCCTGCCACTAATATCAAATTGTTCAAATCAAGCATCACAGAAATATGTTCAGTCAAGTGAGGCCTCATCAGCCTGACTTGAATGATATGCTTCATGTGCTGTTAAATTAGTGCCACTTTCACTTGTGTGTTGTGTTTTTAGAGCTTCAATTAATGGTTACTAGTTAATGTGAATGTGAGTAAAGCATTTGAGGTCAAAACGAGTTTATGAACTAATATCCAGAGGAAATAGCATTATGGTGATTGTATTTAGTTATGAAAAACATTAATGCTAAACAGGAGATAGTCGCAAAACTCTAATACTTGTTTTAAAATTAAATTATGTGATTTTCCCTCTGAATGAGCTAATAAAGTATATTAGCTCATTCACTCATTCATACATGTAAAACTGCCCTTTTGTTCACTTTGTTTCACCTTTCACACATGCCTCAACAATACCTTTCAGTTTACTCATTATGACTACTGATTATCACCTTAAATCCTCAACTGAAAACAAAATATAGTACCTTTACCTGCTTATAAAAACACAGAAAGTAATCCAGTTTGACCAACTCACCAAAAATACGGGGTGCAGTTACAGAGGATGATCTTGTGAACTGGAAACTCCACTCCCTCAGCTATGATTACGGCGTCAGTTAATTTCCCCTCCAGGCGGAGTTGGTCACTCAAGCTGCGTGGCTTCTCTGCAGTCTGGACTTGTTCATTCATTTTAACTTTGAAAAAAAAAAATTATTTGTTTGCTCTGACTTTGTTTTTGCTTCCACTCACTCAGCTTAGGTAGAGTGGAATTCTGGACATATTGCTTTGTTATCACGGACTCTTTAGAACGGTAGTAGCTCCATACATCACAATGACTCAGAAACTGCTGATTCCACTGTTTACTTTTAAAACTTATTTAGCTTGTAGTAGGCGCTTGCTAAAAATGTGCTAATTTCATGACATCGAATTTGATTACATTTCAGGACACAGCAGGGCTCCAGAGCGTTGTCAACACGAAAGTCTCCAACAACACAGAAAAAAAGTCTCAAGTTGAGTGTTTTGATAAAACATTGCTAAAAAGTTTATAAGTAAGCAACAGTGCTTATTTCTTCCTGACCAGAGCCCTACTTACCCCCATACTACATTAGAGAAGAGTATCTCTTGGCGCCGCCTGCTTTGCTGGAATATAAAAAAAAATCAGAATTGGGGTTATGCTTTCACAGGGGGGTGAAAGCATAACCTCCATCTGCTTGGAGCCCTCCACAACAACAGGGGCCACACAAGAGAGACTTAAATGTCACAGTTCAGAGTTACATATGTATGGATTTGGTACAAGTGATACCACAGAAGAAAAGCTGGTTGTTAGGCCAAGTAAGCATTACTAATTAGTGACAAAGAGTGAGTTTTGAAACAGAACTGAGATTATTCTTGATCCAACAAATCATATTGACAAGTATTCTTAAAACTATTTATCTACTGATGAAACATAAACTATGCTGAGTATTTTAGATAAAATATAACATTTTCCTGAGGGACGTTTCTGTCTATCTAAAATGTCAAACAAACCGAATTGTGCAATAAGGTGCTAGCATCACACCAAAAACAAACATTGTTATGCTAACACTGAACAAGCATTCATTTCAAGTGCTGTAGATAAATAAATAAAGACCAAAGTTATATGTCCCCCTGGAATATTTAGGTTTTAAGTGTAATGTTTAATTCAACCAGGATGTTTTATTTTTTATAATGTCCTAACTGTGCTGGCATTACAGTGTGGTGTAACTTTGCTACAGCGAGAACTGTTGTTTTTGTTACGCTGGGTAAAGTTTTGAAGCTAAAAAGTGCTGGATAGAAATGAGATTTTACTTTGTCATAATCACAAAGAGACCAAGCATCCAATCAAATAAAGTGGGCAAATATCATCAAGTTGAGTTGTGGAATGCTGAAAGACTCTTACAATTCAGACTGATAAATGGTAGTCTGTATCTTTTTCCCCCGTGTTATGTAGCAAATAGCTTCCATGGGTTTAGACTGAATGATTTGCGCTTCTGAACTTTACTCTGCATTTCTTTGAGAGAAAAGGTAAGCAGTACAGCGCCTCCTAGAGTGAGTAATAATGCAGGACAGTTGCCAGTCAAGGAATAGTCCCTTTTTAATTTATCTTAGCCATAAGAAACATTAAAAATCTTATGGCTAAGATTTTTAATTTATGGTTAAATTAAACCAGCTGCACAGTGGCGCAGTTGGTAGAGCTGTTGCCGTGCAGCAAGGAAGGTTCTGGGTTCGATTCCCAGCCCTGGTCTTTCTGCATGGAGTTTGCATGTTCTCCCTGTGCATGCGTGGGTTTTCTCCGGGTACTCCGGTTTCCTCCCACAGTCCAAAAAACATGACTGTTAGGTTAATTGGTCTGTCTAAATTGCCCCTAGGTGTGTGCGCATGGTTGTGTGTCTGTGTTGCCCTGTGACAGACTGGCGACCTGTCCAGGGTGTACCCTGCCTCTTGCCCGGAACATTAGCTGGAGATAGGCACCAGCACCCCTCCCGACCCCACTGAGGGACAAGGGTGTTCAGAAAATGGATGGATGGTTAAATTAAAAATTGTCCATATGATTTTTAATAAAATCATATGGAGGGTCATTTTCCTCATATTTTTTACCACAAAAAAGAAAAAGCTTTTGTGCAAATGAAGCAAAAGAAAGCAAATGAAAGCAAATGAAGATTGAATTCTCTTTTTAAACTTTTTTGATGAAAAGGTTTAATTACTAAAACAAGCACACAAAGATTGCAAAGCTGCCACCATTTTGAATTTTTGGAACTAATTTTGTCTATGCCATCTAATATTGGTGTGACCGAGGAAGCTAACTCTGAACCAAGGTATTTTCCAGAGTATTAAATTGTTTACTAATGTTTACCACGATCACGTGTTAGAAGTTTGATGAGAAACGAATAACGTTATTCAAAGAATCTAGAAAACGTTTCGACGAGGATGGGATTCGAACCCACGCGTGCAGAGCACAATGGATTAGCAGTCCATCGCCTTAACCACTCGGCCACCTCGTCTGATGAAAACACATCTGTAACGTATCCGAATTTTTTCAGACCACGAAAGTGTTGTATTAATAATACTTAGTTGTGCATTTAATGTCTTGATTAAACACGTGAGGTGTTTTGCACCGCTCTGTGTCATTCGGGGAAAATTGCAAAATAAAGTGGACGTTACCTTGCAGCTCTTATTTTTCTCCACCAGGTGGAGCCAAAGACTGATTCTTTTGCGCGCATCAGCGATGTTTGCACATGACTTGTTAATTTATTTCAGTTAGTCAGTTTAAAAAGCAAAACTAATCAACTCAGTCCAGCTCAAAGATATTTACATTAGACCTGAATGGCTTCATCTACAAGAATTAGTGCGTGTTGCTTTAAGCCTTTCTTTCTTGTATTTTTTTTTATATAAAAATGCTCATACATAATGAAAACCCAAAATTCTGTTTCAGAAAATTTAGAAATTGTATATATATATATATATATATATATATATATATATATATATATATATATATATATATATATATATATATGTATAATTTTATTTTTTTCAAATTTCAGGCTTTTGAAAAGTATGTCCATTTTTACGCTCTCCTTTAACATGAATTACTGTATTAATGCATCTTGGGAAAGAGTTGGTCCACCTCTGACTGATGCATTAAGGAAACCCGTTTCTTTGCAGCCTTCATCTGCGTTGCTGGATCTTGTGTCTCATCTTCCTCTTGACAATGTTCCATAGATTCTCTGTGGTTTCAAGGCCAGGAGACTTTTCTGGCCCCTCACTAATGCCGTGGTCATTAAACCAAGTGTTGATATTTTGACAGTCTATGCAGCCTCCAAGACACACGGTTACGTCAGAGAGACAAGGATGTGGTGCTGTAAGGTCCTCATAAACCACAAAGGAAAACAAGCAGATGGCGTGGTTCCTCAAACTAATATGACTCTGGAAACTTCACAACCTCAAGCAACTTGGACTGTGTACGTCTCCACTTTATCTCCATCCTCTGAAAGTCTGTTTTGCAAAAATAATGGAAAAACTACATTCATCTGGAAACTGGGACAGTGGGCCACAGAGCAACACTGCCCTCCCAATTTTCTCCTTGGCTCCAGTAAAACATTTGTTATTCTCTCTGGTTCAGAAATGGCTTCGCACAAGTAATCTGAGAGTACAGGTCTGTGTGATAGCGCTCTTGGAGACTTCTGGTCCACGCATTTTGAACCCATCGCTCAAACTTATGAATGGGCTTTACCTCACAATCCTCTTAAAGATTGAGAGGGAGTCCTGGAGAGGCTGCTATTATCGCTTTAGATTATTTTATACCACTTTTCTCTTCCACACAACTTTCCATCAATATGCTTTTAGACCACGCTCTGAACAACCGTCTTCTTCAACAATGTCTTTTTGTGGCTTACCCTCTTCTTCCAGGGTGTTAGAAAAGCGTCAAGTCAGCAGTCTTGCCTACACTTGAAATGTATCATCTTATGAGTATAAATTTTGTTGAATTAGCACTTTTTTGTGCTTCTATTCACTCATGAGATTCATCTTTAGACTGTATTGTGCAACATACTCCAGAATATCTCTATATCCTGCAAAGCTTTTTGCAACCTTTTCTAACCAGTGTATGTGTGTGTTTAGAGGGTTAAAACACAAGGCAGAACTCAGAGAGAGGGGATTGAACATTTATTTTTTTTTACCCTTATTAAAAGTTACAATAAAACCATTAACATCTTCAAACAATAGCAAAATAAAGAGAACCAAGAATGTTGGCCAAAACATATTTACAGAGACAGTTTGCAGATAAAAAGCTCACATTTGTACACAACCCTAACACCCCCCCCACCCCCCTGCATTATAAACTCTGAAATGTGAACACTGCAATGCTCGAGAAGCTTGAACGTGGTTTTAGCCAAAAAAAAAAAAAAAAAAAAAAAAAAAAAAAAAATGCACGAACAAAGACATAGCTCGTTTCCAATCTCCCCTCCTGGATTATCACTTTTCTATACATGACAAAATACTTGGAATTCAGAGGGAGGGGGTAAAGCATAGGAATGTAAAATCTAAAAATTAATAAGATCATTTGAAAGATTTATGTGTCCATATAACAGTCTTTTAGAGTGAGAGAGATGGTCTGCTCCAGCTCTGCAAACAGTGGAAAATTTTGTTGTTTTTTTAGATCCCAAAAGAAAGAAAGAAATTGATGTTATAGGGTAGCCACGCTGTTAAAAAAAAAAAAAGATGTTCTTTTGTTTTTGTTTTTTTCCATGAATTGGGAAAAATAAGTCAGTATTCCTGATTCGCTCTGCGTCCAAGCCGTTACCGTTGCCACACGCCAGTCCCTGTGTGTACCATGAGGGGGAGGGTGGAGAGACGCAAGCCGACGCGTTCATCATGAGAGGGCCCGGTGAGATTCCGTCTGTCGAAGAACTAATAAAAGGCAGTGAACTGGTGGTTGAATCAGCAAACGTGATATATCCTTTGTCGTCTTCTTTTGTAGTTTTGTTTATAACTTTGAGAACGTGGCACAAGTCTCTCATATATATATTTATATACTTTAAATCTTGGAAAATCAGTTCTGGTGCAGTCACTCTGCTTTGGCCTCGCCCTCAGAGGCTGCAGGTGTTGTGCCCTCGGCAGGGGCAGCTGCCTCCTCGGCAGGGGCAGCCTCTGTTGGTGGGGCCTCTTCTGCAGCCTTGGTTGCCTCGCCCTCAGCTGCAGGGGCAGCGGCGGCGGCGGCCTCGCCCTCTTTGGCCTCTTCAGCCGGCGTCTCCTCTTTGGTCTCCTTGGCCGTGTGGCCGTTCTCCTCTGGCTTGTCCTCGGTTGTGGGAGAGGTGGCCTCCTCCTTGCCCTCCTCGCTGCCCTTCTTGTTCTTCTTCAGCGAGATGCCCTTGAACTTGAAGGAATTCTTCAGAGAGAACTTCTTCTTCTTCTTGGCATCCTTGCTGGCCTCACCCTCCGCCTTGGAGGCCTCGCCCTCGGTGGCTGGAGCGGCCTCGATGGCGTCCCCTGCGCCGGCCTCACCCTCCTTGGCTGGCTCGGCAGTTCCATTTCCATCGGCAGTGGCCACTTCACCATCGGGCTTGGCAGAAACATCGCCGTTGGTCTTCACGTGGCCGTTCTCCTGCAGAGGGACAAAAACCAAATTGCATGAGTCATGAAATTGTTGAGCTCGAAACAGATGAATGGCTGAGAATATGTCTTGACCAGCACATAAAAATATGCAGCGCTAAGCGTTACGCTGCAAATAGAGAGAGACGGCCTGTCACGTCGGTGATGGAGGGCTTTGCTGCTGCATGCAAGACTCTGAACGGACACAGGGGGGCAGCAGTGTGTCATAAAACGTCACCACAGAGCGTAAGTTTGGGAACAAAGAAATTCCCACCAAGCTGGTTGCTGCTCTCATCCAAGAGCTGAATCGACACCGTGAGCTCCTAGCGCAGATAGTTGCAGCAGATAAAACCTTTTATTAAGCAATATATTTAAATATATAAAAAGAGAGAGTGTGCCACAGCATACCACAACCGGGAAATTATTTTAAAATGTATAATCTAATCTGTTGCTGAATCTTGTCATTTTAATCGTAACTGAACAGTTGCTTTCAATAAAGTTTTCAAATGAAGCTATACAAACTACGGGTTTGAGACGTACTTGAAAGTATGCGGCTTTGGGGGTACGGGGGTTTGATCTGGCGCCTCTTCGCGCTTTGTTTGCAAGTCCGCAAAATGCGCCTCCAGCAGAGCGCATTTGCATCCTTTGCACCGCTGCGCCTCGCATCCTTTGTTCGACGCTAAAAGCCGCAGTCTGACCCAAAACCACCGACTCATGAGAGAGAACACGCAGCAATCGCCAATTTCGACAAGAATCGATGACATTTAAAGTCAGTTTGCTGGTGTAAAGCCCCCCTCCCCACACACACACACACACAGACCCGCAGACGGAATTAACAAAGACTTGAGCAGGGTGCGCGCTCAAGCGGGGACGCGCGGGACTTACTCGACAGTTTATCTGTTGCGACTAATTTCAATTTCGGTATCATTTGTTTCCTCAAACAGAAATCTGAGTGGAGGTTGAGTTTGAGGGGGACACGGGGCGCAGGAGTGGCTCTGAGCCCCACGGTGGCACCCATGCTGCCAGTGGGCGTTGGGTTGCCATGTGGCTCCCCGCTGACGCGCCTCCATCTGGGCCTCCTTCACTCACCTGGCCGTTGGCTTTGGCAGCAGCGGGGTCGGCGGCGGCCTTCCCCTCCACCTCCACTCCACCCTTGGACAACTGGGCTCCCATTGTCTTTTTCCTTCGCAACGAAACTGAAAAGGAAAACTCGAAAAAGAAAAAAACCCGAGGAGGCTTTTAGAGATAAAAGAAAATCCAACTCCGGGATGGGTAAAAAAAAAAGGTCAGGCCCCGGGGTGGTGTAAAAAAATCCTATCGGATCTCCTTTTTTTCCCCCCCTCAGAAGATGCAGAAACGAGAAGACCCCCCTCTCTGTGTGCTTGAGTGCGAAGCCCACGGTGGCTGAGCTCAAATTAAAGGATGGCAGGCAGACAGCCTGTGTGTACTTCAACCGCGCCTCAAAAATCGACCGGAGTCTCCTCCTCCGGGCGTGGCAGCCGAGCGCTGTCCAATCTGCAGTGAGAGGTCGGGTCTGATAACAGCTGCTCCACCAGAGGACCTGCAAGACTTTGTTTTGGACTGATGCAGACGTTCGCAAACTTATAAATGTTTGGTGCCAAAGACGTTTAAAAAAATAAAATAAAATAAAATAAAAAATCAGTAGACCCATTGAGAAACTGAGAGTAAATAACACCAATCTAAATTCTACAATTTTACTAGGGATCCTTGCTTTTCCTTCCTACTTTAAATAAAATACACTTATTCCTGCTTAGTATCTATTTCTAGCACTTCCATTGGAAAAGTTATCTACACATATAGACTACCATTTAAAGAAAAAAGAATTCTAATCAAAAGTTGATTGATTTCACACTGTTGTATTTTCATTCAGTTAATTTAGATGATTATGTTTTAGATCTAATGAAACTCACAATCAATTTCTATGAAAATATTAATATTATGTAAGACCAATATTTAACATTGATGGTTTTTATGCAGTGCAGAGAGACTTTTCAGTTGGCAGACAAACCGTGTAAAATAAATGTTTTTAATAGTCATATCCATATTTTTATTTGTATTTTTTTTATTTTCTGAGAAATAATGTAAAAATTTTGTTTTATGAGCTTAAAGCCATACTAATGCAAATACACAAAGTGATTTAGGTATATTACTGTGTAATCAATAATGTATTATAATGCCTTTTTAATTTCATTCCAAACATAGATTAACCTTTTACTAATAGCTAATACTACAACAATTTCCGTTACACTGTAGCAAAAGAATACTCATATATTCCACGAGAAAGAAGCATTTTAACGGCCTTCACCAGATTTTAAGTGACAGGATCGGCTTTCCGACAGTAAACCTGTTACATAACATCAAGCACTTGGTGGAGATAGCAGTGAAGCTCCTTTTGTCACTGGCACAGACGGGGAGACAGACTGTCAGACAGTCACAACGTCTTCTCAGCCAGGCAAATACCAGAACAGTAGATTGTGTTTGCCTGTCTTTTGGGGTGCCCACATTTCGATGTAGTCTCCCTTGTCACAACGCGCTTCAAGCTTAAAGAGCTTGTCATTCTCCACTTTGCTCTTTATCCAACAAGAACCAAATTTTTCCCACAAATAAAGACCTACGGGAATGTTTCATATTCTTGCGAGACCTACTCATTTCCCCTTTCTTCTGAGTCATATTTTTTGCACATCCATCTCTCTCCATCTCTTGTGCCTTCGTCCCTGACAGCATACACATCACCCCACCACATGCTCACATCAGCATGTCACAGCCATGGTATGTGAGGCATGCAAAGCCACCCAGAGAACAGTCTCCAGCCCATTCGGTGGTTGAATGTACCCCCAGGGCTTTAAATGTGACGCCCCCACTACTGTCACTACATGCATTCCCCCTGAACTGAGTCAGTAAAAAGAATCACAGCAAACATTTTGGAAGCCCCATTTTCACCGTCTCAAGCTTCGTTTGATATTCTTTGAGGGTCTCAGATGAGGACTTCTGGGTTGACTCTGGGGATGTCTGTATGCTTAGGTGCTCTAGTTTCAAAGGATTCAACCCAGACTGATCAGAGTTAAGTTCACAAGTCTGTGCTGTTCAGACACCTGTGGGGATGCTTCTATATCAATCAATCAATCAATCAATCAATCAATCAATCAAGCACATTTCAGCCGCAAGGCAGGTTAAAGTCATGAAAACATCATAAACACATCATACTGTCAAAAATTGTGAAAACCCACAACAGACATTGTTGCATTTTCTAAAGTGCCATTGCTAAAATCATCAAAGCACATCAAATATGTTGGTCCATTTATTATGGTTCAAAAGCAACTCTAAGCGTGTGGGTTTAAAGAACCTCAGTGTTTCAGAGGTGTTGAGGTTTTCTGGAAGTTTAAACCAGATTTGAGGTGCATAGAAGTTGAATTCTCCTTCTCCAGAGAACCATGTTTGGTTCTGGGAGAGCAGACCAGAACCAGAAGACCTTAGAGGTTTAGAAGATTGATTCAACAACGTCAGATCTTTAACCCTTGTGTGTGTGAGGACTGAGGCAAACGTAGAGGACTGTGGCAATTGATACAAGTTTTACGTGTGTGGGGTCTGTTGGACCCCATTTTTAAACACAAAGGTTAATGTATTTTGGTACTAAGTCATTTACGTTATTTTTAAACTAACCAAAGTGT